AGTGCTAGGGTTCTTCTCTGCTGGGCACAGGTCAGGAGGGGAGTGCTGCCGCTCAGGCTGGAAGGGACACCTCCCCTAGGCTCGGGGGCAGCTGGTTTCCCAGCAGTCTGAGTTCTAGTGCCTTCCGTGACTCTTGAGCTGCTCCATCAGCCTCGGGTTGCAGCTGAGGCTATTTCCAACTGTTAGATACCGAAGGTCTTGGGCTCAGCTCTGAGAGAGAAAGGCACCACCAGGAGCTGCGCTGCGACAAGGGCCCCGAGTGGACAAAGGGAGGGACACCCCAGTCTGTCCTCCTTGCTGCACGGCCCGCAGCGAGGCGGGGCGAACCCCACCCCTGCCCACCTGCCCTCCAGCTCCTGTGTGCTGGGGGTGGCCTGGGACACTGGCCCTGGCTTGCTCAGAGCTGCCCCTTGGTCCAAACTGAACCTGGCTCAGCTGGGGCCCCCGTAAGGCAGGCCCTGGAGAAGGGGGCCCAAGCGTCTCCTTGGCATCTGGAGCGGCCAACAGGGTCCCACCTGGCCTGGGTCCCGTGACTGAGGGGCATCTGGCCCCTCCCTGGTGTGTCCCCTGGGAGCCTCGGGGAATGGAGATGGCCACCACACTCCCATCCCTGGATCCTACTTTGATACTGACCCTGTGTGCTGCTTGGCCTGGTCATCGGACCCGTCCAGCTGCAGGGACCCACCCTTTCCCGGATGTTTCCAACATGACTGACCCACCCTCGTCTCTCCCGAGTCCGGCTGTCCAGGTGCTGAGGGGCTCTGGCCAGCACTGAGGGTCAAGGGGAGCACGCAGGTGCGCTGGACTCAGACACGCATGAACACACTTGCCTGTGCACCTTCAGGTGGGCATACGGGCAAACACACATGCACAAACACCCCTCACACAAAGCAAGCATGTGCACTCACATATATGTGCACTCAAGCACACAGACATACAAACACACAGACACACAAGCACACACACAGCACACACAGACACACACAGACACAAAAGACACAGACACACAAACGCACACAGACACAGACACACAAGCACACAGACACACAGACACACAAGCACACAGACACACAAGCACACAGACACACAAGCACACACACACAAACACACAGACACACAAACACAGACACAAAAGCACACAGACACACAAACACAGACACAAAAGCACACAGACACACAGACACAAAAGACACAGACACACAAACACACACAGACACAGACACAAAAGACACAGACACACAAACGCACACAGACACAGACACACAAGCACACAGACACACAGACACACAAGCACACACACAGCACACACAGACACACAAGCACACACACATAAACACACACACAAACACAGACACACAAGCACACAGACACACATAGACACAGACACACAAGCACACAGACACACAGACACACAAGCACACACACAGTACACAGACACACAAGCACACACACACACAGACAAACAAACACAGACACAAAAGACACAGACACACAAACGCACACAAACACAGACACACAAGCACACAGACACACAGACACACAAGCACACACACAGTACACACAGACACACAACACACACAAACACACAGACACACAAACACAGATACAAAAGACACAGACACACAAACGCATACAAACACAGACACATAAGCACACAGACACACAACACACACAAACACACAGACAAACAAACACAGACACAAAAGACACAGACACACAAACACAGACACACAAGCACACACACAAGCACACAAACACACAAACACACAAACGCACACAGACACACAAACACAGACACACAAGCACACAGACACACAAACACACACAGACACACAAGCACAGAGACACACAAGCACACAGACACACAAACACACACAGACACACAAGCACAGAGACACACAAGCACACAGACACACAAACACACACAGACACACAAGCACACACAGACACACAAATGCACACAGACACACAAACAGACACACAAGCACACAGACACACAAATGCACACAGACACACAAGCACACACAGACACACAAGCACACAGACACACAAACACACACAGACACACAAGCACACAGACACACAAGCACACTGTTGAGAGCCACACCAAGTCGGGATGGCGCCTGGCATTTTGCCAGAAGGAGTGGTTGGGAGGTGACGCCCGCGAGCCATTGGGGTGATGATGGTTAAGTTAAGCTGTGTCTAATTACTGGGATGGTGGCTGATTGCTGTGACTGGGTGAGGCTGGATTGGGGCAAGCTGTGTATTCAGTTGTGTATGTGGACCTCTGCTGTCCGGCAGTGGGGAGGCTCCTGCTGCCTCGGGTGCCCGCTACTTTTGAGTTCTCGCGGAGTTCCCGTTGAGTCCCCATTGAGTTCCCACAGAGTTCCCGTTGGTTCTCGTGGAGTCTCCATGGAGTTCTAGAGAGTTCCCGTTGGGGTCGGGCAATAAAGTAGTTCCTGTTTGAACCTATAAGTGGCTCGTGACCTTCCGGTTAATTTGTGTCCAGCCAGACTGCGGCAGCACACAGACACACACAAGCACACAGACACACAAGCACACAGACACACAAATGCACACAGACACACAAGCACACAGACACACAAGCACACAGACACACAAA